AATGTTACTTTTTTTTTTTTTTACTTATTATAATTTGGTTATTGACACTTTATTAGTTGTCGAGATTTGTAGTTTGTTTATAGGATTGAAAGTAGAAAGACAAGAGGAAAAAGTGTTAAAAGCACTAGGAAAGTTATGCAAGATACGATCTCTTGTTGGACTTGGGACTTTGGAGTTGGGAAATATTCTTTTTTTTTCTTCTTCTTGGGGGAGTACTTTGAAGATTATTAATATTATTATATTTTATGTTTTTGATTGCTCTAGCCTTCGTGACATGGAGAAAACGATCGGCCATTTATGATTAATTTCGTCTTGCTCCACTCATCAATCGCACTTTGTAATTGTGTGGCGGAGATTAAGCGCATTATAGTTTTATCGATTCGAACAGAGTACAAATTGAGGAAAACTTATGCTGTAATTAATGGATAAAGGTTGAGGCTTAATTTAAGTGCTCCATTTGGGTAGGAATGGCAATGGGGCAGGTCCGGGGCGGGTTTCTTGATACCCAGACTCGCCCCGTGGCAGGTCGGGTAATTGATCACGGGTCGCGGGTCGGAGCAGGTCGACCCAATGGGTATGCAATTTATATGAAAAATATTAGAAATATTTGTTATTTTTATTGTAAGACTAAGAAAACAAACATTATTATGACCATTGTAGTTAAATTATTGGAGAAATTGAAGTTTTTACTAATTTACAACTTTATTATAGCTAAAATATGATGCAATAAAAGGAAAAATCTAAATAATTTGACTATGATTAAATGTAAAAAAAATATTTCTATTTCAAAGGCGAGTCCAGAGGAAAGCAAGACGAGTTTTGACTAAATCCGCATCCTATCCTACTCACCAATTTCAAAAGCGGGTTTTAAGCAAACCAACACTGACGTCTCACCCAAACGGCCAAAACTACCAACAGTTAGCTGCCTAATTCCTGGGTCATCATCATCATAATTTGTCACGTAATTTCTGGCGTCCATTCTAAGCTTTGACCCTATTTTTCTAGTAATCATTTATCTTTTTATGTGATATAAATCTCAGTTGTTATGATTAGCAAGCTTTAGCAGCTAACAATATAATATAATAATTAGATTAAAGACGGATGATTACAAGAAAACGGTCAAAACTTAGAATGAGCGCCAGTCGTTTAGTTGGCACTAGTCGGGAAAAAGAAAGACAAACAAAAGCCAAGCGTAATATATGTGGTGATTACTGATTATCGATTTTAATTAATCAGAACGAAATCCAACCAAATAACCTTTACAAACCAAATCGCTTTTGAATATATACATCCAAATCACATAAAGGAGAAGAATCAGAAAAGGGGATTAAAATCGCAGATTTGTTAATCCTTTTTAATTAATGTTTTCGTACAGCAAGTTGCTTGGATGGAATGTACTATATATAATATATATGTATTATTGAGATCACCATGATATGGTCGATCACATGCATACACATTAGGGAGATGGTGGGAAATCTTTGACGCTGACATTATATAGCTGGGATCAGGAACGGTGATGGACGGGATGGGTATGAGTATCGAGATACTCGTGTCTCGTGATAGGCCGAGTATAATTTATTGTGGGATACGGACAGTGGCAGAGCCACATTTTGAGAAGTGGGGTCCTAGGAAATCACTTGAAAAAAACGGGATAACAAAACAATTTAAATATGTAGGATTCAGTATGATACTGAGTTTAGGACCTCATACTCTCGTCGACTTAGCTCATCTAAGGATATCAATCAACTTAAAGTTCGTTAAATAAAGACTTTAGTATTTTGAAAATTTTAAGGACCCCAGTCAATTTAAAGTCTGGCTATGCCACTGGGTAGGGGTTTTGAGGATTCGATTTGTATGGGTATGAAACTTAAAAGGAACACATTTATATCCACTTTCCATTGTAGCTAAAATAGGGGATAATAAAAATAAAATTCTAAGTAATTTGAGTAAAATTAAATGTAATTTAGCAAAACAGGGTCGAAAAATGGGGGTGAATAAGGCCGAGGAGAGTAATCACGCCCGTCCACCTCGCGTACCCACCCAAAACAAGTCAAAAACAATTCGATAAAATAGGCCAGGTCGAAATTGATTTCCTACCAAAACTTAGTGATTGAGATTAACATGGATGGTGCTCGAGGGTGTATGGGTATGTAATGTAGGTTGGGTTGGCACCCTAATTAATTACCTGCAATAATCTCTGATATATATATAAATCAAAAGTGGGCGTATCTTGAATGAGGTAGGGTGCAATATCATAATGCTCCTTCACGTGCCAATTATTTGGGGATTTAAATGATCCGCTCTTTCACTCCAGAAAAAGAAAAAAAAAATGGATCGACATGAAGATCAAATTATGGCGCCGGCCTACCATTACTAATAAACTAGGGTGGTTTGGATGTGTTAATTGCCGATGTGGTATTTGTAGCATCAAATAATTCATCTATTGTTTGACTCGTTATAACTACAATATTCCAATCGACGACCAAGTATAACCACCGATCGGGTGTAGCATAGGGCAAGCAAGCAATAAGAATTTATCGTGCCACGGGGATCTAGGCTTAACCTACTTTAGGTTTATGGTTCGTTATCTAGCCAACCTAGGATAGTGATTAATAAAACTAATCTAACTAACCTAGACTAACCACTAACCTAGCTATTTATAAGGTTTGGAACTCTCTTGGGTTGAATCCTCATATTTCCGACCTTTGGATAGATGTTGAGTATCCTCCTAGTTCGAGTGACTCAAATACTCTACAGTTTGGAGAAGGACTCCCTCGGGAATGACTCGGAACGACGAATCGATGGATGGGTAGGTGCTCTATTCAACCTAGGGTATCGTATATTGCTAGGAGGTAGATCGAATCAACTCCCTTGGGGACTACCCGGACAATATACGATAGGATTGACCCGAAGACGCCAATAATGGGCTCTAAGGGGATTATCCCACTCCTAGGTCAAAAGCTTAAGCCATGAAAATGAAAACCAAACTCATGCCATCCATTAAAACATCCATCAATTAGATAAAATCATCAATCAAACTAATAAGTTGTCACATACATCAATAACAAACCAAAAACTAAACCTAGGGTTCTTAATCCCAAGAGAAGAGGGTGAGTTTCTAGAGAGAGAGAGAGGAGAGATTACAAAGAAACCCCCAGATCTTCTTCTTCTAGGCTTGATTCCTTGCTCCCAAACTTGATCAATGCCTTCAGTTAAGCTCTAAGATCACTCTCTCTCACTATAACTCCCCTTTGGTGTTTTAGGTTGAAAACCCTAGAGAAAGAAAGTGTTCATTCTCCAAAAACCAAATCCTCTTTTCTCTCTCCCTGCTGTTGTCTTCATATTTTCCCGAAAGTGACCAGTTCAAAGCCGCGTTGGCCAGTTCACGGCCGTGAACACCTAAACGCGTCCGTGAACTTAGTGTCGTCTCCAAAATGCACCGCTTCACTCTCATGGATTCACGGTCTTAGAGACAGTGAACTCCCTTTGCGTCAGTAACTTCTGGAACCTTGCTGGACACCTCGATGTTCACGGTTTGTGGCTCCATTTCACGGTCTGGAGACTGTGAACTCCAATGTTGGACCATGAACTGCGGCTGCTTCCTGGATGCCCGCGCTTCACTGTTACAAGGCAATTGTGACTTTGGACTTTTCTTCGATTTTTGCGCTTTTTGACCTCCAATCATCTCAAAACTCGTCCTCGACCCTTCCAAACGTGTTAGGACTTGAAATGTATCAAAACAAGCACAACCTAGCGTAAAATAGGTCGAGGGACGGTGATCTACTAAGCATAACAGATAAGAAATGAGGGGTAAAATGTGTACATTTGGACCCGAATCATTGTTCATGTGGTATTTCGGTGTTATTTCAGTAGTACTTGAAATAAAGTATCTAATTTGGTTGAACCATGCAAATGTGGTATTTAACATGTGGTATTTGGTAAAAACAGAGTGGTAAAACGAGTTATTTCGAAATAACACATGTGTATGAGTTATTTTAAATAACTCGATTTGAGTCATTAGTAAATAGCTCACTGTCCAAATAACTCATTTCAGTAAAACGCTACCAAACGAGTTATTTGTGTCCAAATAACTCATTGTGAGTTAAATACTTCCAGGACGATACGGAATGATTGAGGAGGTAGTGGTCGGGACTTGATCCATCAGGAGAGAGGGGCGACGGATAAGACACGAGAGAGATGGTTGAGGTTTAAACGGCAAGAGAGGGGAAATAGAGTGACCATTTTGATATATGCCAAGAAGAGTAACCCCAATACTAATGAATATAATTAAAGTAGTCACCACTCATATTGATTAAATATACACACAATACAAACTTCAACATACAATAGGATTAACTAAAAAATTTAGATGAAGACTCTCTTATGGAGGACCTTCCTCTCAACATATCCTTTTGCTTGATCTTGAAATCTTGGGTTTGTGGCATCTATTTTATTATCACTGAATCATGATAAATACAAATCAATTCGCTAGTTGACAACTTTTTTTAGTGATGTTTTTTTAATACTATTTAGTATTTTCTCAACCCAGTAAAAAATAAAAAAAAAATCATTCCACTCCTATTCTCAGATCAGATCAAATCAAATAAATATACGTAGGAAGCACCTGGGAAACTGAAAATCAAATCCCACCGATAACCTAACTCATATATATTATTACACATCATAGAAAAGTGGAAAATGAAAAAAAGATTTGTTGTATCTCTCTCTCTCTCTCTCTCTCTCTCTCTCTCGTCTTCCCCATGGTTTCTAATTTAATGCAGTGTCCATTAAACCGTACCGTATCGGCGGTTGAACCACTTAATACCAATATCGGAGGCCAAACCGATATGCGGTATTTACCGGTATAACGGTTGAACTACGGTTAAACCACGGTTTTACCATAAAATATCTTACCGCTAACTTTTCCGGTACGATCTCCGGTACGGTTTCATGGACTTTGATTTAATGACGCGGCGACAACAGACAAGAGCTGGGCTCCATACCAAAGATTTGCTAAGATCTCACGTTATTGGATCCTCAGAATCTCCTCCCAGCTTTTCTTTATTTCCATTTCCTCTCTTCTTTCTTCCCTTCTCCTCCATCCTCCTATTAAACACCAAACCGCCACCCCCCTTCTCCCAGAAAATCCCTCTGCACTTCCCAATTTCGATTTCCCTTGTCAAACTCCGAAGATTATTAATTCCTACCTCTCCCTCTTTAAAACCCACGAGCGGTTCTTTGTACCCACTCAGTTCCAGCGATTTCTTCTAGCAAAGGAGGTTTCTTCTGCTTTTGGGCCTGTTCCTCAATTGGGTTCTGATCATCTTTTCATCTGGGAAATGGCGGCCGCCGGTACTGAGTCTCTGCGGTGGAACTTGGCGGAGGAAGTGGGGGTTTCGGGTTGTAACGGCAATCTCGTTAATGGGTCGGGTTCTGGTTCTGAGGAGTTTCATGTTCTAGCTGTGGATGATAGTATTGTTGATCGGAAGCTTATTGAGCGTTTGCTGAAGAGTTCATCCTTCAAAGGTGCCGACTTTAACTCAATTGTGGGGGTTCTTGTTGGAATTTCAGTTTCTCATTTGGTTTGATTTAGGATCTGACTTCTGGGGTTTGTTTCTGATTTTGGGTATACAGTTACGGCTGTGGACAGTGGTACTAGAGCTTTGCAGTACCTTGGTTTGGATGGGGAGAAGAGTACTTCTGCGGTTGGTTTCAATGTATGTGATGGTTTCCTTTTTTCCCCACACATACTCTCTGTGTGGTTGCTTAGAAAAGATGTTTAGGTTTCCGAGGTGCTGATTGTTCTGTTCTGTATGAAATTTGGCAGGATTTGAAGGTCAATCTCATAATGACCGATTACTCCATGCCTGGCATGACTGGATACGAGCTGCTCAAAAAGATCAAGGTATGAAATTTCATCTTTATTTATCAGAAGCTTCAAAAACTTTGTTATTCAAATTTTCTGTTGCTGATTCGGTCCATTTCCATGTTTTCTCTCTTGAACAGGAATCTAAAGCGTTTAAAGAGATCCCGGTTGTGATAATGTCATCAGAGAACGTCTTGACCCGGATCCATAGGTGAATTTCTAAATCTTTGACCAAGTCCTGATTTTCATGTTTCAGTTGAGTGCTCTTTGCTGACTTTTAGAATGGGCTAGACGTTAGGCTTATGAACAAGATCTGGTCTTTGTGGAAATATCTTCCTGATGTTGATTGGTTATAGGATGGATTAGATCTTACAGACCATATTAAGAGATCTGGTTGTTTGCTTGGGAATTTTAGTCCAAGATCAATTGACTTTTAGCTATAGAATTTGTTTGATTGTTTGAGGTGGGCTGTGGTGGAAGACTGGTACTGTTTAAATGGCAGGTTAATGGTTTTTCTTTCGAACTCGACCACAGAATGGTTCATGGATGATAAAGAAAATACTTTGTACTACATAGCTTTGAGTTGGGGAAAGTATTATGCCACAATTCACTTCTTCATGTCCGATAATCCGATCTTAGAGCCTTTGAATCTCTATTGGACCTGTAGTTCAGATACCAGATGAGGTTGTTTCCTAGGAAGGTTTTAACCATATCTGGATTTTGCTTAAATGAGATAGAAAGAGTTTCATTAGTGTTTACAGAAATGGCCATGTGCAAAAGATGGCATATGTTCCAATTATTGTGCAGTGCTGGGATGCATGTTCTTATAAGTCCATAAACATATCTTAAAAGATCAGCCAATCTCAATTTCTGTTGTTCATTGATGCAGTTGTCTGGAAGAAGGTGCTGAGGACTTCCTGATGAAGCCTGTGAAGAAGTCTGATGTCACTAAGCTTAAAGACTTCATGGTGAAAGGGGATCAAGCTGAGAAAGGCAAGAGAAGTAGCATCAAGAGAAAGATGGACGATGACATTCTTAAGCTGACGATGCCTCCTACTGCTATTGCTTCTTCTTCTTCAGAGGTGGAGGATCAATCTTCCTCCGCATCCCACTCTCCATCGTCATCATCATCATCTCCGTGTTCATCTCCTTGCAAAAGAACCAGACTGCAATAGCCAGTGATCGATCTAATACACCTGCTGCTAAACTATAGATGCTTTGATTAGCAAATTTTGTACGTAGCATCAAGCCACTTAACATAGAAATGAATGGCTCATGCTCTTTTTTTGTGAATTATCAACTGCTTCGTCTATGGTCTTACCTCGAATAGTATGAAAAGGAGGATCGCTCTCAGTAGGACGCGATCAACTTGATGTGATCTGTTCTTTATTTTGTAAATGGTCGAATCTTTAATCATGAATACGAAATTGAGATCTCTCAAAATTCAAGTCTCTGTGATCCTAATTCCGCCAACTTGCTATGAAAGTTCATATCTTTGACTGGGACCATCTTATGAGATTGCCCTGTTTTCTTTCCACTTTGTTTGTGGGGTTGTCCTACTTCCGACTTCGACCCCTCTTGTTTCTTCAATCTCTACAGTATATCTTCTTGACAACCCATCATTGAGAATTCGGTAACCATTGGGTCCAATATGGTAGGGGTGGGCAATGGTCCTGTCCATAGTGGGATAAATCGGACTAAGACGATACTATGTTCGAATAAGATGCATTTTGATTGAATTTGCTTCTCAAATTTCAAGACTGTTTTTTTTTATGTTCCCGATCTCATGGATCATCTGAGATACATATTCAAAAAATGGGTTGAATCGAAATCGGATCAAAATCGACTGCACTGTTTGGTCGAAAAGAATCGGACTGACCGGGCCTGCCCTTTGCATCATCATCATCAAATGGAATAATCATCATTCCAACTGTCTGAATGATGCTTTCTTTTGACAAGGCTTAACCTAAAACAGAAACAAAAGCATCAACAGACAAAAAACAACGTGTATGATCAGATCGGTGTTTCCACTTTTCCAATCATGAAAGATATGAATGAAGGGTAGCCACCACCACCACCAAGATATGGAGACGGGGAAAAAGAGCAAGAGATCAAATCTTGGCGATGGGGGACCATCAAATCTTGGGCCAAAAGGGAAGAAGAAGAAGGCAAGATCATTCATCATGTGATGTTGTTTCCGTTATGTGCAATTGAATGAATGGTGGTTGGGCAGGTCCCCTGTTTTTCTACCCTGCTCTGCTTTGTCTCCTTCAGTTTGGGCTCTCGTGTTTTTGGCATGGCGTATAGGGTCATCATATGATTGATTCCATCCCATGCCCAATTCTCTGACCTAAGCGGCTAAGCTTGGAAGTCAGGATCTAAGACTTTGCCCTACAAGATCAAAAAGGGAATGCAACTTAACTTCATAGCTGGAACTAAAACATGGAAGGTAGAGTTTGGCATAGAATGATATCACCTCCCAATTCAGTTGAAGTACATCACACTTGTAAGAAAAGGAAAGCTTGTGGATTTTCCAAGATTGTGGAGCACAATCAAAAGGAAGTAAAATGTGTAGTCATTATTCATCATCCAAAGGAAATAATAAAAATGTGTAGTGATTTTGTAATGTCACGAATCATGTATGGTATGGTAACTCACGAAATGATACGTCTAAGCTCATCAATGAAATATGTGATTTCACTGAAATTAGTAGATAATATGGTACTATCAATTCCTTAAAATGAAATTCAGACTTAGCTATTAAACACGTGATTTTTTTACTCATTTTTTTCAAGGTCTAGTGTAGATAAATCACCAATGGAAATTGTTAACCTCCTCCTTTCGTTTTACCGTTGACTTTAACCGACAACTTTCTTTGAAAAAATCGACAATACATTCGGGTTATGTTGAAGACTTGATGTATATAAGTTGGTAGTAGTGCTTCTCTATCTTAATGTCGACGGTTATGAACCCAAGTATAGTGGCGGAGTCATGTCGAGTCCACCCCCCTCAACTTTCAAATATAGCTAAACTAGCATAAGCCCGCTCGCTATCGCTTCGCGTCTGAGCTAGTACTTGATATTTTAAAAATCAATAGTTTGAATTCTGATCCAAAAGTAAAGGACTTCTCATCTACAACTCTATGTAGTCGATACAACGATAAACTTTAATAAGAGAGAAATGTCGTCGAGCAATTGATTTCTATGTTTAAGTTGTAAACACTGGGTTCAAGTTGTTTGGGTGTTCAACCAAAAGGAAAAAGATAAATGAAAAACACTAAAGCGGATAAAATCGCCCCATACCAAAAACTTTACACACTAAGCTCAACTCACCTTGACTGGTTCGAACCGAGTTTTTAACAATTCACACTCGCTCAACATGCCAATTCTAAAAGCAGATAAAAAGCACTCTTGATGCAAAACTCGTTAGTTGGGTCTGGGTTCAATTGTCATTCTCATCCAAAAGGAAAAGGAGAAATAAAAACCATTAAAGCGGACAAAACTCACTCTCGATCCAAAAACTCGTTCAACTCACTTTGACATGGTCGAATCGATTTCTTAATAAATTCACACTCGGTCGAACTTGCCAACTACAAATGTGGATAAAATTCGCTCTCGATACAAAAATCGGCAATACCATGGGTTTGGGTTCAATTTTCATTCTCAACGAAAGGGAAAAAAATAGAAACTTAAAAATACTAATGTTGGGTTCGAGTAGCTTTGACCTGGCCGAATTAGGTTGGATACCCATGAGTTTGAGTTCAATTATCATGCTTAACCAAAATGAGAAAGAGAAGTAAGAAAACACAAAAGAATATGAAACTCGATCCCAATACAAAACTCGGCAACACATAGCAGATTTAGTATGGATTTTCGGTAGCGATCTTGAGACACGGTGGATGGGTACAACTTAGGATTCCATCAACAGTGTTTGGAAAAGGTTAGCAAATTAGTAGGCGAAGGCGAGGATTGTGCATTATATTATGTTATGAATATTTGGTAATATATATGTCATGTATGGATTGTGTTATGGTTATTCGGTGGATGGGAAACCTAATGGCTAATAGATGTAGACCTGACGAATAATAGATGAACACATGAGTTATAGAATGAGAGAGTGCGATAAAAGAAGGACTTGAAATTTCTCCACTTGCAATTGGAGGAGTTTGGTAGATAAAACACACTCTCGATACAAAACTCGTTAGCATTGGGTCTGAGTTCAATTGTCATTATCATCCAAAAGGAAAAGGAGAAATAAAAACAAAGCGGGCAAAACTCACAATCGATCCAAAACTCGTTCAACTCGCTTTGACCCGGTTGAATCGATTTTTTAACAAATTCACACTCGGCCGAACTTGCCAACTACAAAAGCGGATAAAACTCGTTCTCGATACAAAACTCGTCAATACCAATGTTGGGTTCGAGTCTCTTTGACCTGGTCGAATTAGGTTGGATACCCATGAGTTTGAGTTCAATTGTCATGCTTAACCAAAAGGAGAAAGAGAAATAAGGAAAATACTAAAGAATATGAAACTCGATCCCAATACAAAACTCGGCAACACATAGCAGATTTAGTATGGATTTTCATTAGCGGTCTTGAGACACGGACACACGGCGGATGAGTACAACTTAGGATTCCATCAACAGTGTTTGGAAAAGGTTTGTGAATTAGTGGCGAAGGCGAGAATTGTGCATAATAAATATGTTATGGATATTCGGTAATAAATATGTTATGTATGGATTGTGTTATGGTTATTCCATGGATGGGAAACCTAATGGCTAATAGATGTAGACCAGACGAATAATAGATGAACACATAGGTTATAAAATGAGAGAGGGGTAAAAAAAAAAGGATTTGAAACTTCTCTATTTGCAATTGGAGGAGTTTGGGAGCCACTAATAAATAGTAACTTAAATGTTATATTAATATATATTAATAATTTAGATGAAATTTTTGTAACAATTTCTAAAAATAAACAAGTTAGTTAGTGTCTAAGCTAACCCCTTCACAATGACCAGGATTCAAATCTCTAAAGCATAAATTTGTAGCCTCCTATTCAAATGTCTGGTCCCGCCACAAGTGTATTACTTTTCGGTTAGGTGGTTGCTTTAAAAGTCTTTATGCATCCAATCCAAACAGGCGAACATGGAAGATCTGTAAATCACAATGCACAGTTTTACATTAATTCCTTTTGAGTTACGGAATCGGGTAAGTATGTGGACAACAGGGAGTTCATATTTCAAGTACAACTGCAAAACCCTCAATCCGCCTCAATCCTTAATTAAACTGCTACATAAAACGATGACTGATTGAATGATGGAGCTGGATCAGGTCTCGCGACGAGCACAAATGCATTGCTCTGACCCGATGATTCATGAAAGACCTTGGCAGGAACAACTTGTATAGGCAAGAAGGCAAACTTCTCGATGAAACCACGTCGTAATTACGATTAACCAGAATACAGGCTTTTAGCTCTATCAGAACCACAACTTCTCAATGAAACCATGTCATAATTACGATTAAACAGAGTACACACACTATCACAAGTACATATCCAACTTCCACAGGAAACCAATTCTTAATAAGCAAAATTACTAATAATAATAATACATGCTCAATCACACATACAAACCTAAATGAAACGTACGAACCACCTTGCTCTTTCCGTCAATGATAGCATCATAGCATTCTATGGGATGATCGATCTTACGGAGTCAAAATTCCAACCGGTGAGACCTACAACTGGCCACAAGTTTAAAGTCAAAAGAAGAGGTTATGGTAACATAGAACAAAGAAAGGAAAGGAAAAAAACTAGGTTGCAGAATCTTTAGAGGAAACAGTAAGATAGAGGAATTTCACATTCTACAAATGTAGTTCTAAGTGAGAAGCAAACAGAGGATTCCCCCATGGTGTTCACATTCCAGCAGCTTCGGTGCAATTGATGATCAGCTCGAATGAAAATTACTAGTAAAGCTACAATGCAGGGAGATTATGGATTAAATTAAATGCATGGTCTAGCCAGAGTTGAACCCTACATACCTGAGTTTGCTAATTATACATTTCTGGCGAAACTAGGGTCTCCAGGTAGATCACAACAGGACCATCACGATCGGGCAAACTTCTCGATGTAGGAAACCTGACAGTGTTAACCTTCGGGTTGTAAATGAACAGATCTTCATAATTTTCCCAAAGAGCTTCACCATTATCTGAAATGTACAATGGAGTGCGGAACCCTGCATCGACCACAACCTGATCGACCCTGAACAATTTAGTCCACGCATCTGTCACTCTAGGCTCTTTCATCACCCATACCACACACGAATCGCCATCATCAAAAGATGCGAGACATAGACGATCAACTAGTGACTCTATTTCCCAATGAGCACCAGAGTCACCAAAATCAGGTAGCTTCACCTTGTTATATTTCTCTGTAGCAAGGTCAAGTGACACTAGGGTTTCCTGCCACTCGGGATTCCCATCACCTCTAGAACTTGGCACTTTGTAGTAAAGACTGCCAGCAGCGAACTTTACACCCGAACATCTCGGAACCCCATACTTAAAATCCTCGATTCTTCTCCAAGATTTAGTCTTCAGAGCAAAGACTTGAACTTGAGTTTCGAACTCATCTGTTCCATGATTTCCAGTTGGATAGGAAATCGCGACTACTACCTTGTAATCATCAAGCTGACAGTCATAACCAAATCCAAAAATCCTGACACACCCACGCATCTGTTCCTCCGAAATATCACAGCGGAACGCAGGCAATTCCCTCACAACTCTGGTACAAGGGTTCCATACCACCACCCCATGGTATAAGCCGACAACAGAGCATAGCAACCCATCGCAAGACCCAACAACATGATCACCACCACCGTTGTCGACTCCTAGAAAGACATCTACACGCTCAGCGACTTCAATTCGGGGGCCATTGTATAAGGACTCAAGCGACCACGAACTCGAGCCCCAATCGAAAACAAGAGGCCTCCGTTCGTTTTGGCGATGGATTGGCCGATGGAAGAAGTTGAATGACCGCCTGAACAGCCTATCAACCCGATTCGGTTTGACAGCAGACAGCGCTTTCGTACATCTTCGATGTGCTTTGACAAAATCGGGGCTCGAAATTAGGGTTTTGAAACATTTCGAGACGGACCTGAATCGGAGGAGCGAGACGACGGGCAGCCAAGTCAGAATCTCGGCGATGAGATCCGGAGGAAGGATAGGTAGTGGCCGCGGCAGCTTTGCCTTCGCCTGGACGGGGTTTTCAAGCGACGGAGTCTCCATTACATAACCGGCGAACTGAACTGAGCTAGTGCCAAATGCCAATGGCGGGAAGACGGTTTCTTCAGACGGTAACTGGTACGGGAGTCGATATATATAAAGGGTTTACTGTTGGCTAGTTTTCGTTGGGCTTCGGCGAACCGGGCTTTGAAAGAAACTAGCGTGGGTCCCGACCATTTGGCAGGAAGAAGGTGAGGTATGAAATTTGATAATGTAATGGGGTGTATAGCTTATTGTTGTATAGTTTTTTTTTGCAAACACGTGATAAAAATAGTGAATTTTAGTAGGAAAGATACATGAATGATGCAACAAATCAAAAATCAACCTTATGAACCAAAATCAAGTATCTGTTACCTTGTGAAACAATATTGTTTCTGATAATATGATGAGGTGGAGTAAGTTTAATAGAAACCGAATTCCAGAAAATCGAATAAAAAATCGTCTATCCCGCCGGTTTTCGGGAAATGAGCATCTCACAATCGTTGCTAGCTTTTACTCGGCCCGTTGGCCGATTAATTTGCTTTATAAAACTTTCATCTTGTCATCATTGTGCTTTCTGGTTTTTTGCCTAGCCATGATAAAATCTAAAGAAATCAAGAATGAACAACACGATTTGGGATATGAACCACTTTTCCTGTATCCCTAGAAAATGGTGGTAAACACGAACTCACCTGCCAAACTGGTTTGGAATGAGATTTTTATCGGGTATCAGGGAACCATGTGACTATAAATTAGACTTGATCAAAACGGGCCAAAACTTGAAATTCAGCATGTTTGACCGACCCATGCCAAACTCTAATTATTCTTTACATTTAAACTTTCTATTTTAAATAAAAAATAATGAAAGAAAAGAGATGAGTGCAATTCGCCATTTGCACATCACTGATTCGGGAATAAAACTATAGAATATCGAAAGGAAACTGAAAAATGTTTAGGATCGTTTTAATGTTAAAAATAACCAAATAGATCTTTCCGTTTAGTTTTTTACTAACAAATACCAAACGATTCCCTATAATATACACTATAATTTAATCATTATGATATCAAATAATTACATAATATATATTTGAAATGATAAAAATTGGACTAATTGGGTTGGTCGAGGTTGAACCATTGAATAACTTTAAAATACATTATATTTTAGTCACTAAGATATAAAATAATAGCATAATATATATTATGCTGGAGAAAATAGCTTGTTTTAGAATGGCAAACCCATGATGTTCATTTGTTTTACTTGATGGGCAAATTCCGTGTAGGTCAGGCCCATTCAACTCTTTTATTTTACGATTAGCGGTTAGCCCATTAGAATCAATGCATTAGTTTATTTTTAAATTTTTTCTTTTTAGCAATAAAAAGGAGTATTGTTTTTGTCTTTTCATATATATTTTACCACCACGGAGAAATAAAAGGACTTGAAGAAAAAAAATTGACACTCTTGGACCCGTTTAAATCCGCATGTGTACGGTAAGTTAGTCCGTTCCACAAAGGAAAAAGAAAAAAAAATTGACACTCCCTATTCTACCCTTCCTACAAACGCTCCTGGAGCAGGGAATTTGAAATGAGGGAAAAGTTTTTTCCTCTCTGCAATTATATGTTTTTAATTTAAAAAGAAACAACAAATGTACTTAGTGTGATTGGTTATGATCTTTGTTATTTTTTTTAAAGTGGTCATGGTTCGAATCCTAGTAAGTGTCTTTTTAATGAATAAAAAAAGTAATTGTGAAGACCAAAATGTCCTTCCTACTTTCACTCTGGATGCAGGAAATTTGAAATGGGGCTTCAAGTTTTTTCATTTTGCTTTTATTTATTGTGTAGACAAGTGAGCTGCAGAGAACTTCGCCCTCTTTTCTTTTCTGTTTGATAATTAAAGCCCATAAGATGGCAATTAACTACACCATAGCTAATTTTATCCGAATTCAAGTAAGTTCATTTATTACCGATAGGGTATAAGTGAACCATATATGTGTTTAAAGAATGAGTATTGCTTCTATATTTTAAAATGTAAGAAATATAATTCTTAGCTACTAAAGGGTTAGACTGGCGTACGTTACTATTAGTGAGATATATCTATCTAGACCATGAATTAAATCGAGTTTGGGGTATGATACTATACCCTAACCTCTAATGGATAAACCCCAGACACCGATTTTCTAAACCCTAACCCGAAGTTTGATTTAATGAAAAACAAAAATTGACCGTTGAGATTGGCCGGAGCTCATCTAACTACATCTAACGGCTAAATCACCTGACGTATACTATACGCCTGACGTACACCAGTCATCACCAGCTACTAAAATATAATTGTCACCGATATGTTCGGGACTTGTGTTAAAAAAATTAATAAATTTAGGTACTAAATCTTTAGTTTAGATATCAAACTGTAATTTACATATGGCTAAAAACTCTAATTCATAAATTCAACATAAATCGGATAAAAACACCTAGTGGAACTGTCAGATTGTAGAACTGACATAAATCATCATTTCGTGTAAAGATATTAAGGAGATAGAAGATAGAATGACTGTGAGTCTGTGATGGCTGAAAGTTCACTTTCCTCTTTGATAGCTAATGTAGTTGCCTCTGAAGCCCTTGATTGATTTCAATGAAATCCCATCAATTTACTTCTAAGAAAAATTGTGTGGCTAATGTAGTTGCCTCTGAAGCCCTTGATTGATTTCAATGAAATCCCATCAATTTACTTCTAAGAAAAATTGTGTTTGCGGTCAAACGACTTCACTTTTGTTGTGTTGTTTTGGGTATATTTTGATTTCTGATGATAAGTTTGGGCGCGCCCTTCATTTTAGTTTGGGCTCACTTTTTTTAACAGCTTAAGCACAATTGCCCATACTCCACAATCCAACCATCTTGAAGTTGTTGGCCTATGTGACTTAGGGTTCTTTACGGCAAATACCACTAGTAAATATGAACTATGAAAAATGTGTATTTGTGCCCTAAATCGACACCTCATCCGAGCGAGATCCTCATACTTCCTCATAGAGCGCGATGCCTCACTGACGGAGATGGCGGCGACTCTGTTCTGGGCTGCGGACTATAATGATGGCGACGGTGGGCTTCGAGGGTTGGAGACGGAGACAGAGTAGGAAGCGAGCAGGCTGCAGATGCGGCCAAGCAAGTCGGGGGCTTCTGGGTTCTTGGTGGGGAGCTGGGCAGCGATGTCTGCGGAGGAAAGGCAAGCCCCGGGCCCGGATGGATTGTTCGATTATGGCCATTCGCGACAGGGATTAATGGACAGCGACAACGGGGATTTATGGGCTACAGCGGCGGGGATGTTCGATTGCTTTGGTTTTTTTTAAAAAAAATATTTTGGATGATTAATATGGGTGAGTTTATATTTTTTAATTTTAGTTTTTTCAATTTTAGTATTTATTTAATTTTGAATTAAAAATATGAGGTGTCAATGACATGGCATCTACGTGGCTGCCACATCATTAAAAGTCAACATCAAGTGGACCACCGTCTGGTTACCATTATATATAACGGTCCACAAAATCGGCAGGAACACACAATTATCATAGTTGGGACACAAATGTCATATGGGATGGTTTAGGTCACAAATGGCACAATCTTGATAGTTCGGGTTTTCTAGTGGTATTAGCCCAATTAATTACTCACAATCTTTGTTTCTGTAGGTCCAGGAGATGGTGCATAACCCTAATTTCCAACTTTATCCAATGTCAAGTGAGCAATCTTATTGCTACTTGACCTACAAATCGCACATGCAAACCATTATGAAGAGCTAACTATAAGGACTTCATCAAAGATGGCCCCTGAGTGATTATCTCACCTATTTGCCTGGTTTATCTTGTCGATGACCACCTTCGCGTTCCGTTCAAATCGAATCTGCAAGAGACCACGATCCAAACACATCTAGATGGCCTCCCATTGGACTAGGAGCTCAACTAATGGTGGCAAGATGGTAGAAATCAATGAATATACAACAAAAACCAATAAAACCATACTCCAAAGTATTGATTTCGTGTTGAAAGTTTTCCAACACATATCAGAAACTAACAAAACCCATATAACAACATTTAAATTTATACAAAGCAACCGCTTAATCCTTATTCGAAATCAGTGAATTCATGTCCCAAACTAGTTAATCCAGCTATACCAAATACAACCCGATCGATCGGTTACCACTAACATCACATTGACAACAAATAAAATTAGCATATGACAATCAACAACACCTACGAACCGGTATAACCTATCTATGCTTCTCCCACCTGGTGCAACCTCAACAGCTGGTTTGAGAATCTTGGAGGTGGGTGAGCAAGCAAGCAACAATGTTCACAAAGCTGATGATTAGTAACAACTAACAACAATGTTAATTATTAACCACATCGATTAAGTCACGAACAAAAAACTAAACACATCGATGGCAACAATGTCGAGAGTCAATTCCAATACATAGACCAGTTCCTTTTTATATGTATTTTTGTTTGTGGACTGGCAACTGGCAAGAGAGACCTATTCATCCAACTGTAATGGGGGGCATCTTTTGCTGCTTTTGCTCAACATGGTGTTTCTGGCAACAGCCGTCGCTACGCATATTAGTTTAAGCTTTCAGGGTGATTCATTGGCTTACTTACCACACTCGGTGATAGACGGCTGGGGCATTTTTTTATGGCCAAACTGAAATCCAAATATGGGAATCGAGATAATACAAATGAATATGCATTAAGATAAATCTATATGAAGATTCTTAACTTTACTAATGAGGCGACTTCTTTGTTTCACTATTTTTGAAAGACATATTTAGGGGAAATTTTATCTATGTTTAAACGATGTGGTTGATAACCATTTTAGCTAGTAGTATTCAAATAATTTACTTTGGTTAATTTGGATAACTGGTTTGGTTCGACTAAATTGTTAGCTTGTTTGGTGTAGGGGGTTTGATTTGGTTTCAGTAACTCATAACCAATTAGCTTTATATCTAATTTATTATATACCCATACTTAAAACTTTGCATGATCACTCAAGAGTCGAGAGTAAAACATTCATCCATTTTGGATTCACAAAAAAAAAATTAAATT